CATTAACCATGCCGTGAAACTTTGGGACTTTAATACATAATTTTACACAAGATCTTGGTGCAAAGCCTGATGAAGATGGATTACCACTGAAAACTAGCTATTTGCTTGATTTTGTCAGTGGTCTAAATAAAGGTACTGCCTGCTTTTACAGAAGGTAACTGTTATTCAGATCTCAGGAAACCTTGATCTGGTAATTTAATTGTTCATGCCTCACATAATAAAAATGAAAAATATGCCTAGTTACTCCTTTTACAATACAGGCCCCCTTTTTAAAGCTGAATAGTCAGTTGCACTTCTGTTTCTTCCCCTCTCAGACTAAGGATAGTAGAAACAGAAAGCTCACAGTATTAAAAAAAACCAACATACATATACACATGAATGAATGAATGAATGAATGAATGAATGAATGAATGAATGAATGAATGAATGAATGAATGAATGAATGAATGAATGAATGACAAAGACTCATTTAGAACACCAGGCTGGCTTATTATATGCATTGAGAGCATTTAGAATTCTCTGCTTTGCAAGCAGTACCATCTCTCAAGTTGTCTGAGCAGAGTATTCAGAAAGCAGGTGCAATAATTTCTCGAAGTCATGACACAAGCTCATCAGTATGCAAGTCATGCAGCAAATATTCCCGCTCTTCATTGGACAGATGTGTCTCTTTTTTGTATGCATGCTGCACTGACAATGCAGGCTGCCTCATTGTTCCTTTGCCTAGTCCAACAACTATCAAGCCAAGATCTCCTGCCTGGACAGGAGACAAGAATCTGGACTGTACAAGAAAGGAATGGAGGAATGACAGAAGTAAACAACAGAACTTCTAGAGAGGATTTGGTACTGGAATCTCAAGAGAAAGGCTGATTTTATTTCTAACTGAGGAAAGAGACAAAGTGGATTCGATTCTGGCACTAAGCAAAAAAGAGGCCAGGTTTAACACACATCGTAGGGTATTGCGCCTTGAATAGATATGCAGAATCACTGCAGTGCAGAATCTCCCACCATTTCATCACAACAGTGTGAAACCTTAGAATCCCTTCTAAGATAGTAGCCTCCAAATTTCCTACTTAAGAAAACACTCACAATGATTTGTCTAATAGCCAGTTATTAGATAACATGTCAGTTTAATACCAAACCTAAGGCTATCTCAAGGTCCAGGAAATTGGAACCTAAGCCTTAATGCAGTAGTTCTCAGATGTTCTTGGACCATCTGAAGCCTTCAACACTATCTGTGCTGGTCAATATATAGCCCATCATTTATTCATTTATGATGATGATGATGATGATGAGTAGTAGTAGTAGTAGTAGTAGTAGTAGTAGTAGTAGTAGTAATCAGCCAGAGCCATGTTGAATTATGATCACGCTTTCTATCAATATTTATCAGCTGTTGTCCATATAGTGGTTTATTTTTCCAGCTGTTTAACTTATTTTCAAATTGTTATTTCTTATATTGAGCCTTTGTTTCTGTTGTTTTCAAAATATTCTCCATTTTCACGGCCTTAACTAATTTTTCTCTACTTGCACTGATATTAATCATTTAGGCTTCTTTTTTCCTCCTCCATTACCTGCTGCATTTGCAGAAATCCACGGCCTCTGATTTTTTTGTGGTAAATATAATCTGTCCACATCACTTTTGGATGCAGTATGTGATGCATGTTCATTAGTTTCCATGTTTTTCTATCTAATTCTTCTAATTCATTTTGAGTCCAATCTATTATTCCAGCTGGGTGTCTAATTACTGGAACTACCCATGTAGTATTTCCACCATTTAATCTTGATTGTATTTCCACCATTTAATTTTAATTATAATATTTTCTATAGTCTTTTGATATACAGTGGTGCCCCACTTTATATGATTAACCTGCATTACGACGAATCCGCTTCATGACGATGTTTTAAATGGTGTTTTTTTCCGCTTTGCGAAGACCGGTTCCGCTTCGGGAACCGATTCTTCGCATTACGACGATCAAAACAGCTGATCGTCAGGTTTTCAAAATGGCCACCAGGTAATTAAAATGGCTCCCTGCTGTGTTTAGGGACTGATTCCTTGCTATACAGGCACCGAAAATGGCCGCCGTATGGAGGATCTTCACTGGACTGTGAGTTTTTAGCCCATTGGAACGCACTGAACGGTTTTCAATGTGTTTCAATGGGCTTTTTATTTTCGCTTTACGATGTTTTCGCTTAACAGCGATTTTCCTGGAATGGATTATCACCGTTAAACGAGACACCACTGTATTCCCTTTCTGTCAGTTCTTTAACTTTTGTGTGCACAATGTTATCTGTTTCTAGTATTTCAAGGTATATAAAATTTTCATCACGTGATAGTGATTTATTATTATTAGTAGTAGTAGTAGTAGCAGCAGCAGCAGTAGTATCATTAACAACAAAAACAAGAAGAAGAACAATTCACTTTGCATTTATTCTGTTAATGATGTATATTTTGGTGCGTTTAGGGGGAACTGTTTTGTTTGCTTTTGTTGGGATCTTTATTCTGTTAAAGATGTATATTTTGGTGCGTTTAGGGGAAACTGTTTTGTTTGCCTTTGTTAGGATTGGGTGAGCTGGGGGGGGTGAACTCTGTGACTGTGCCACTGTGCTGAGTGGGTGGTTGTTGCGATGAGCTGGGCACAGCTTGGGGCATTTCTCTTGTTGCTCTTGGTATTGTGCTGCTGTTGATTGCTTTGGTGACTGAGTGTCTCTGTGCGCCAGGCAGTCAATGATGATCTGTCTTTCTTGAGTACTATAGTACTGTACTGTTCCTTACTTTTGGAGAAGGCTGGTTCTCTGTTACCTTGCATTTGGGTTTGTTTTGTTTCTTTCTGGAGTAGTTTTTATGAATTCAGAGCACTTGGCATGCCAGAAAACATGAACAGAAAACCCAAAACAGGCTTTCCCTTTCATGTAAAAGAAAGGACCAGTACACAAAAAATAAATACAATGAATGAGGCATCTCCTGAAAGAATTCAAAATGAAAGAAATATTTTTTTCTCACCATGCACATCCTTAAATGTGTCCCTACAGCACAGCCTTTGCTGAATTACAACTCCTGTTAGCCACAACCAGCATTGCCAATGTAGAGGAATGCCGGATATCAGTGTCCAGAGACCACTCTTTGCCAGCCCCAACATAAATACAATCCAGCTTCCAGTCTTCCCACTCCTCATTTTTTTCTGACTCAAGAAAAAAATACCCTGCTACAGGAGTTTGTATCAGAAACTGTAGAAAGATGTGATACCAAATACCCCAGTGTGCCCACTTCAACAGAATGCCCCGCAGATCAAAATCAGGACAGATGGATAAAGGCAGCAACCTCCATTGTTGATCTTCTCAGCTAGATTCCAGCAATCCTGCTCAATACTCTTCTAAACAGATAAAGCCAGCTGGGGAACTTTGTCTGCCCAAGCCACTGCAACCTTTCCCAAGAGCTATACAGTGGTGCCTCACTTAGCGATCGCTCCGTTGAGTGACAAAATCGCTTAGCGACGGGGTTTTGTGATGGTCCCTATGGGGTTTTTTAGTTTTCCGATGATCACGGGGAAGTGATCATCGCAAAGTGCCCATTTTTGCACAGCTGATCGGCGGTATCAAAATGGCCACCCGCTGTGTTTCCTTGCTTAAGAGGCACTGAAAATGGCCACCGGAGGATCTTCGCTTAAAGATGAGTTTTTAACCCATAGGAACACATTGATCATGTTTTAATGCGTTTCTATGGGCTTTTTAATTTCTCTTAGCGATGAAATTGCTTAGCAACGTTTTTTCCGGAACAGATTAATGTCGCTAAGCGAGGCACCACTGTATGTCCAGGAGAACAAATATGGTCCTGGGGCTTACAATACGTAATGCCTCTTTCTATTTAAAAGGTAATATCTCATTTAAAAGGTAATATCTCTTACAGCTGAAGAATCAAGTATCAGTGACAAAACTATTGCAAGTCGAAATAGACAGTGCTGAGGTTTGGTGAATGAATTGGCTCCAGTAGTGTAAGACAGCTTTCCTTGTTCCCATTGGTGGTGCTCTTCCTGCTTCGCCCTATTTTTGTATACACGTTCTGGTTAATGCATTTCATCTCTCTAGAGAGAAAGCACTTTTAAAAAATCAATACTGAAAGGCTAATGCATTCTCTTAACATCATGAAAGGAGACTAGTGTTGAGAGGAATCAAAACCAGAGATAACTGAAGAGGTTGCTGAGAGGGGCAGACAGGTAGCAAAGCAGAGCATCACTGATATGGTATTAAAAGGGAATCATTCAAATCACTTCAAAACATGTCAGCAAACATAGAGCACATTCCCTTCTCCATGGGATAAATGTAAACCATACATGTTAAGGATATTCACATAATCTAGTTCTGATGTCACAAAGAGCAGCATGACAAATAATAAAAACAAGTTGTGGTAGAGTGGAACAAAGTCAACACATACTGGTCATGCTAGAAAACAATTTAAGTTCCATACAAGCAAGAAACAAAATAATTCTTGCTCTGCAAAGTCAGGGATAGTAGAAGTACTACAGTTTTTACAGCTCCTTCTGCTTTCATTGTGTTTTCAGAAGAGGCATTCTTTTGTTTTAACAGAAGAGAAAATGCTTCTTGTCATTTGAAGCTTCTATAAGCACTTGTATGGAAATATTATTGCCTTGTGGAAATATCTACTGCCTGATTAACCAGCAACACATTTTCAGTGAATTAGGTCAATGTAATTGGCTAATTAATAAAATATTATAACTCCAGTTACTTTAAAGATTAAAACATTACTTTATTTCCACTTGAAACTGCTTCTAATTTTACCATAGTTAAGCCTGAAGAATACGAGGAAATATTTTCAGTCTTCAATGTGACAGAATTCTATTAATCTAGCCTCAGTTCTTCAATTCTTCTAAAGTCATCATTTTCACAAATGAGCGAGACTTCTATTTCTGCACGTTTCTGGATAAATGTCTACTTATTCAAATCAATGTGACTCTAATGCAAGCAAGAAAAAGTTTTGCTCCTCTTACCTGTCTTCTCTGTTACGATCAATGGAGTAAAACTGTTTTCGAAGCCACCTGAAAAGAAACAGGTTTCGAAACTATACTGTACTGATGTTTCAAAGTTCAGTTTATTAGAGACCTCCAAAAAAATTAGGGACAGGCACACCCAGAGCATATTAAAAGAGGATGACTGGATAAAGAAAAATTGGTATGTCTTATTCCACTGTGCAAGTGTTCATTTTCAGAGTGCCGGTGACAATTTTTTAATTAAAATCAGTAATTTTGATATATTAATATATTAATTATTCATTTAATTAACAAAAACAATGATACAGAATTTAAATTTCTGCTCCAGCCCTTAGTCTTCACACTCCCACACAAAACTGATCTAACAAGAGCATCCAACAAGATGCTCACATTTGAAAGCGGGGGGGATCTCTAGGGAAGGATGTGACAGAGCTCCAAGTGAGCCATCATAATACAGTATCCTCTCTCCATCCTGTTGAGGCTGAGGATGCACATGTTTGTCTCAAGACCATGTGCTTGCTCTGTGCTGGGGTTTATGTTTTTATGACATAAGAAAAGAGGAGGGGTCTGAAATATGTTGGCGCCAGGAGGCCAAAGCAGCAACAATAGTTTAGACAGCGTCTTCCTCTCCTCACAATAATCGGGCATTTCACATAAATGAAAGCAATAACATCATCCAATGACAATTCTAAAAAAGGGACATGAAGGAAAAAGATACACAGAGATTGCAGCAGTTCTAAAGCTGAAAAGATAGACTAAAGTCATATCTGTTTAGACATGCACAGGATGGCACTGAAGAAATAAATACCACAAAAGGAGAAAATTAAAATCTTTATGTTTTGCTCCGCCTTATTCTCAGATTTCTTGTTCTGTCCCACTGGGCAGTTTTTGTAATCAGTCTATCAATCCACTGCACAAAAATCCTGAATATTGTGCCATTGTACATAAATCTGAAGGACTGCTAGCAGACTGCATCTTTTAGAGCCTAAGAATTTTGCAGAGATAATGAAAGATCATGCTGGTAATGAAAGAAATGATGAATGGCAACCCCCCCCACTGCACCCACCTGTCAGATTTTGACAACTGGCTGCTAATTTCTGTTTTACCTTTCGATCTGGAGTGGTGTTGGGGCCTTTAGGGTATCCACCACAAGCCAGTTCAACCCTTTGATCCACATGTTGACTTCATCTTCGGATGTGGCTGTGAAAATAAAGGAGAAACTGGGCTTGTAAATATATGAGCACAGGTGCTGACCCCTGTTTCCAAGAAGGAAGTCCCTCCATGCAGCTGGTCTGTAGCAGGAGGAAGCTTAATTCCCCCAAGCTTGAGGTTTATAAATCACAACAGAGTGCAACAGGATGCGCCATTAATAATTCTTGTGTATCAACGTTCATGAGTGAATCAGTGATTGCTTCAAAGTCAGAGGCAGGCAAAGGGTGGCTGGGTCGCCAGACATCAGTGGATTGCAACTCTCAGGCAAAAAAATGCTAGAAGCTGAAGTTCAACAACATCTGGAGGGCTACACTTTGCCCACTTTTGCTTTAAATAATTAGGAAATTACCTTCCATGTTTTTGGCACTCACCTGTGGCAAGTGAGACACCTGGCCAGACAGAAACATGTCTGCAGATCAGAAGAAGGTGATCTCCTCTCCTGTTTTCAGGCCACAGGTATAATCATTAAGGCAGCTGTATGTCAGCCAGCAAGATTATTCATCCTTCTTCTGCAGACCAATTTAAATGAGCATAACAGGTACACCCAGGGAGTAGTCTGAGTGATTGTGGCATACAGTGAAGTAGCTACATAACTTCTAGTTCACTCACTCAGTCAATCCAATTCTGGTGAACTTATAGCTCTACAGTAAACATGGTGTGACTTACAATTTGAGAGCAGCCTAAATTCACATAGTCTTGGGACCAATTATTTAGCCAAATATTTCCCAGATCCATTTGAGTTGTTCTCATCATTTGTAGAACTACTACCAGGACTAGGTGGGGATAAAGGAGAACTACAGCTTATATTCTGCGGCTTTGCCAAAATTTAGTGCATTCTTCTAAAATAGCAGCTGAGTGCCTTGTGGGTGTTCTTGATTACTACCTCCCATTAACTTCAGCCAACATGGAAAATTACCTGGGATGATGGAAGCTGAAGCCTAAAACAGTGGTTCTTAACCTTTGTTACTCAGATGCTTTTGAACTGCAACTCCCAGAAACCCCAGTCAGGACAGCTGGTGGTGAAGACTTCTGAGAGTTGCAGTCCAAAACTCCTGAGTAACCCAAGGAGTAACCAGTGGCCTAAAACATGCTAAAGGCACCACAATGGAGATGATTGTTGTAGCATTTCATGGAGGGAAAGTTCTGTAAGACTCAAAATGCAACAAAGAAAATATACAAAGCCCTAAATAATCTGCCTGTTCATACTGGTATCATAATATAATTCTAATTATTTATTTGTTATTTCTTCCAAGGTGCTGTATTGATCTCTGCTCCTAATTTCACACTCACAACAGTCTTATGAAACAGGTTTCTCAGGTAGAGCCATGGAGCCAAAAAAATCTTATGAATCTGGGCATCCTCACAGGCCTTATGCCACTGGCTCAATGTTGGTAACTTGTGGACTTAGCAGACCCAAGAAAACAAGATGCTAAATTTCTTTTATCACAAATGAAAATGCTTTAGATAGTTTTGAGTACAAACCTTAAAACGGCAATCTTTGGTGTATTTTGGTAGAGCCACCAGCAAATAATTATCTCAGCTAATATTCTTTGATATTAGACTATGGAGGAGTTTGCTCACTCGTTTGGAGAAATGCCAAGGGCAAAGGGCTCAGTTTAAATGCTACTTTGCATTGAAGTCCCACTTCAATATAAGTAAAGTGGTGCCCCGCATGACAACGATAATCCGTTCCCCTGAAATCGCTGTACAGCAAAATCGTTGTCATGTGAAAAAAAATCCCCATTGGAATGCATTGAAAACCGGTTAATGCATGCCAATGGGGAAATTATCTCATCGTCCAGCGAAGATCCTCCATAGGGAATATAGCGATCGCAAAAAATTCGTCAAGCGATTTCATAGTTTAGTGGGGTAAGCGTCTAGCGGGGCACCACTGTACAACAATATAACTCAAGCCCTCTTTTCTTGTACAGCCTGTTCCAAAACACATCCCAGAGCCTGACCTATCCAGTCCCCTTTTTTCAAAACGACCAACTCATCCATGCATTCAGACCCCTCAGCTTCACTCTAGCTGGCGCTGTAGATGGAAACATTTCCATTTCAGAGGAAGCTACTTTAGATATCTTGGATTTTAATGTCCCATCTAGCAGTTTACATTTTCATACCAGATCCCTAGGTCACATTCACTATGTCACTAGTGACAACGTGAATCACAACTGTTGACGTCCAAGCATTTTGTATCATCTCATTTAGGTGAAATAGGACATCTGCAATGTTTTCAATAGGCAGCAGAGTCATCAATTTGTGCTCAAATTGCTCAGTATTGGATATGCCAGAGACACAACCGTGGTGTGAGGCGATACCAGTAAGGAATGGATCATTTCTACAGAACGATCTCTCTCTCTCCCTCCAGTAATACTTTCCTTCTTTCTGACTCACAGTTTCCATGACACCAGAGTAGCTGCCACAATGTTGGGGGGGGGAATAAGAGAACTAGAATCTTACTTTATTAAAATTACAGCTGCAAGTCTCACTTGGCTATCAGGAATAAATCAGTCATGACAGCACACCTGCTACCACCCTGAGTGAACTGGAATCATACTTTATCTTAATTACAGATGCCAGATTTACTGGCAAATGATTAATCAACCAACCAATCAGACTACAAAATCCATGGCTGTAATCCATTAGTAAGCCACAACCAGAGTAGAAGCATTGAATCAACAGAACTTCTATAGTTCTACTAATAGAAATTTCAATAGCTAACTGAATCCTCAGTGATTCTATGAGCCTACTTAAATTGCAACTTACTACTGGATTTCAGATAATGAGTTAATCATCAAGGTGGAAAAGACTTTAGATTTGATATTACAAAGCACTGATGTGTTGGACTACAACTCCCATAACTTGCGCCCATTCCTTGAGATGTTGGGTGTGGATACAATGACACATGCCTTAGTTACATCCCATTTGGATTACTGTAATGTGCTCTATGTGGGGCTGCCTTTGAAGACAGTTCAGAAACTTCAGCTGGTGCAAAACTCTGCAGCCAGACTGCTGACTGGGGCCAACTACAGGGAGCATATAACACACCTGTTACAAGAACTGCACTGGCTACCAGTCTGTTTCCGAGCCCAACTCAAAATGCTGGTCATTACCTATAAAGCCCTATGTAGCTTGGGTCTAGGCTACCTGAAGGACCGTATCTCCCTATATGCATCTTCCCAGCGATTAAGATCAGCAGAGGAGGCCCTCTTCTTGGTCCCATTGGCAGCACAAGGAGAGCTGATGGGGACACAGGAGAGGGCCTTCTCTGTGGCAGCTCCTAGGCTATGGAACGCTCTCCCTCTGGAGATCAGGATGGCCACTTCCCTTTTATCCTTCTGAAAAAAGCTGAAGACCCATCTCTTCAGGCAGGCTTTTAACCATTATAACTGAATCCCTGAACCCCATTTTAGCAGATAATTTTAATCTTTTTAATGTTTTCATGTTTTAATCTTTTAATTGTATTTTAAATCATATCTTGTTCAATTTATCTTTTAATATTTAACTTATTGTGTTTTTACATTGTGCGAATTTTAATGTTGTAAGCTGCTTTGGGTCCCTTGTTCGGAGAAATGCAACATATAAATAAAACTAAAACTAATACTAACACAACAACAACAACTACAACAACAACAATCTGAGGCAGAATACTGATCTCAGCTGATGGGAACTATAGTCCAATACATTTAGAGGGCACTGGTTAAGAAAAGCCTACCACATTGGTGTGTTTCTGTAACGGGAATGAAAAGGAAAACAGCACTCATAGTCTTTCTACTAAGAAAGATATACCGAATTTTTTGCTCCATAAGACGCACCAAATTTTTAGGAGAAGAAAACAGGAAAAATAATAATCTGTTTTCTTCTCCTAAAAATTGGTGAGCCTTATGGAGAGGTCCATCTTATGGAACACACCTTAGGACCCTTTGGAGGCTCACACTGCCCCCCCCCGGGGTCAGAGGGGGCGAAATTGCCACCTTCTGGCAGAGGGGGCAAAATCGGCAGCTTCCAGGACCTTTTCTGAGTATTTCAAGCATCACAAAAGGTCCTGGAAGGTGCCGATTTCGCCCGCGCTGGCCCCGTGTGTGTGTGGGAATGTCGCAAGGGTCTTGGAAGGCTCACTCGGACCCTTGCGACGCTCCCCCCACCCCCCCACAGGGCCAGGGGGGTTGAAATTGCTAGCTTCTGGAAGTCTTTTGAGGCTTGGGAAGCTTCAAAAGACTCTCATAAGCTGGTGATTTCGTCAGCGCTGGCCCCGTGCAGGGGTGGAGGGAGTGTCGCAAGGGTCCTGGAAGGTTCACTCAGACCCTTGCAACGTTTCCCCCACGGGGCACGGGGGGGTGAAATCGCAGCTTCTGGAAGTCTTCTGAAGCTTCCCAAGCCTCAAAAGACTCCCAGAAGCTGACGATTTCGCCTGCGCTGGCCTCGTGCGGGGGTGGGGGGAGTGTCGCAAGGGTCCTGGAAGGCTCACCCGGACCCTTGCGATGCTCCCCCCCCATGGGGCCAGCGGGGACGAAATTGCTGCCTTCGCTCCATAAGACGCATAGACTCCCCCACACACACACATTTTGGGGGAGAAAAAGTATATCTTATGGAGCAAAAAATACGGTAGTAGCATTTGACTGTTCATACTGAGTTGTCACACTGCCTTCAGGATCCCCTCACAAGTATCTATACTGAAAAATATGGAGAGAAGTATAATCATTCATCATCTTCTTAGAACTGCAGAGCTGGAAGGGCCCCTATGGATCATTGAGTCCAGATGCTGTGAAGGAGGCACAGTAGCAAATCAAGCTCCCAATATCTGGTTCTGCAACCAGATCACTAAACCACTGAGCTATCCAACAGTTCTCTGGATATATTATACATTTAAAGATAGTTTAAAAATCTATTATAAAAATATCTAGAGCAGGGGTCCCCAACCTTGAGCCTCCAGATGTTCTTGGACTTCAATTCCCAGAAATCCTGGCCAGCAGAGGTGGTGGTGAAGGCTTCTGGGAGTTGTAGTTCAATAACATCTGGAGGCCCAAGGTTGAGGACCTGATCTAGAGCAGTGGTTCTTAACCTTGGGTTACTCAGGTGTTTTTGGACTGCAACTCCCAGAAGCCTTCACCACTAGCTGTGCTGGCTGGGGTTTCTGGGAGTTGCAGTTCAAAAACACGGGAGTAACCCAAGGTTAAGAACCACTGATCTAGAGGAATCTTAAAAAGATATCAGCATCGACAAAACATAACTTAATATGGCACACTAATTATTCTCCATTTTATTATTGGCTTTGCAGGTTGACAAATCAAGAAGTGAAGAATCACGTATGTGTTCAGAAGCCTTACGCTCAGTGCAATAGCTATCAGGTCTAGCAGCTGCTACTGGTATCTACCTGGTCAGTGTCAGCACACCCTTTGCTCACTTACTGTTTTCTACCACCACAACCCAAGCAACATCTTGATGGCCAGTGAGTTAGGAGTTAGAGTGCTGCAAGATAATTAGAATAAACACAGGAAATGATCTGCCTTATCAAATACAAAAAGGAAGTAGGAGAGAGGATCCCACCTTGCAGGCTGAGCGTCTTCAGTCTGAATTCTATGCCATAAAGGATGACAAAACAGTGGGATGGATCCGGCCTGAAAGATGGATCCTCCTGATAGCGATCAAAATCTCGGGAGTTTCTTCCCAGACGGATCTCTTGGATTTCACGAATATCAACTGTAAGAGAATAAAAAAAGGGGAAAGGGTCAACTAGTGGCAACTTAAACACCAGTGGCACAGCAAGCTTTTGCAGATTAGCACCACCTTCATCAGAGACATGAACTGCTATGTTGGATTATAAGCATACGATCACATAGTGATTCCTAGGCAGGAGTGGACTCGTTGGATGTGATGTGGTCTCTCAGAGCCAAAATATTCTATGCATGGTCAGAAATTCTCCATTATTATTACTTCATTATTTTCTCAGATCAGCCCCTGTATTTCGAACCATGTCATGATGCTAAGATTTCATACAGTCTGTATTTACTGTTCCCATAGCTCTGTAAGTATTAAAAGAGATTTTCAAAGAGCCTTCACCCCAAGACCTTTGTTCATTTATGTGGAATCCAGACAGATAATAAACAAGTAAATGTTTCCTGTACAGGGAGCGTGAATCTGGTTTCTCAAATTTCAGAATATATACATGGAAAAATAGCACAGTAGACAAAAGAATAGAAAGAGCTGAAAAGGAAAAAAGCTAGCAGCAGTAGCAAAAAAAAAAAAACCATTGAAAATAAAGAAAATAGCAGGTGTAAATTGTAGCTCAAACGCCATCTAACAACCTGTGACATATCTTTAAAAGCTATCTCTTGTTTAAAGGTTCAGTCTTGGCTTCACCCAATTAAAAAAACACACATCCTGCCAGTCCCGTACTCCAGTGTCAGTTGCCTCATGGTATTCTTTGCATAATTTTTGTATTTCTACTTTTGCAGTTGGATTTGACTTAGGCTACTTCCTAATAATTGAGGTTTGAGGACATAATTGTTCTTATATGCAATCAAGTCCCCACGGCCCAGCTGTCAGCTTTCTGTGAGCCCAGTTGCGAGCCCCTTCTTTTTGAAATCCAGTCTGAAAATCAGGAACTTCTTGATCTATGTAAAGTAAAAACCTTTGCTGCAACATCTTGAACATCACCAAGTTATTGTAGTAGATTTCTTTGTCTTGATTTCAAGTAGATTTCTCTACTTGACAATTGCAGAAAAACTGCATTCAGGCTTCTGACCCTATTTCTATCACCTTTTGCTTCTTGCCTGCCCTTTTCAATTCATCCATCTAGGCTTTTCTTTTCTTTTTACTACAGGAGTCATATTTTTACATTCTTCCTTAATACCTACCATTTGGCAATAGGATTTGGTGAATGTTTTGGCTGATGAAAAAAAAAAGGGGGGGGAGACAGCATCCTGGTTTTACAGAGCCTGCCTACATGCTGAAGAATTCTGAATTGCTCAACCAGCTCCACCTGGGACCAGTAAAGGTCACAGTGATCTGAAACTGGTAGAAAGGACGTGTGCATCCAAAGAAAGGGGGAATGGCTATTGACTCTGCTGGTTAGGGCTTCTGGAAGATGCAGTGCATGAGCATCTAAAGGACCAAATTTGGGAATTTCTGCAGCCAATTAAAAAAAGGAACTCCTTGGTGGAAAGTGTGAACTGACAAAGCAGAGAAATGCACATAAGTGCATTTGGAGCTTGGTTTCTCTGAACATGAAAACAAATTATATATTTCAATCTCACAATGCATATAGCAAGCCTTGTAATTATTAGGACTAAATAACAGTAACACAGATAATATCTTAGCACAAAGTGCATTGTTTGTGTAATTGTTTAGGAAACATTTACTGTTTTGCACTTACACAATGTGTCTTTACTGTGATACTTATTCTGCAATAGGATACTGAGGAGTACACATTTTCCCCTCCAATCCTGCAAACTTCAGAGATTATGAGAAAAAAATATTATCTGAAACAGTCATATTTTCTTTGAAATACGATTCAAAGAATCTAAACACTGATCAGTAGAAACCCTTTTTGGTGATAAAGGTGGTCAGAACTGAAGCTTACTGTACATAGGCGTAGGAAAGGAAAGAAGAAACAATTTGTGTCAGCCTCCCACTGCCAATGGAAGTTCACAGACTTTTTTGCAAGAGACAATGTGCTTCCTGGAAATTGATTCTAAAAACCCTCCATGGAATCAATTAATGCCATTTGTGACTCACAGTCTTCCAGACAAAAGACATTTCAGAGTATCATAGAGTAAAGCCTTTTGCAGTGATGAAATGTGATATAGCCCAATCTTTACATGCTTTTTCACCCACGGCAAAATAAGTGTATGTCAGCTGAGTAGAGTTTTGTCTGTTTTGATTCTTAAAGTGTCTCTTGTGGGGGGGGGAGCCTAATAAAGACACCAGACAGGAATACTGGCCCTTGAGCTAACTGTACATAATCAAAGCGAAAGGAAAAGCAAGGGAGATAAGCAGCAGTAGGAGAATGACATTTCTACAAATTATCCACAGAGTTGCAGACATCTTCCTTTTCATGAAAATATATCATTCCAATCCATTAATCTCAGGATCAAATGAAATGTTTCTCTTTCAGAGGACGCCCTTGAGCTAACTGTACATAATCAAAGCGAAAGGAAAAGCAAGGGAGATAAGCAGCAGTAGGAGAATGACATTTCTACAAATTATCCACAGAGTTGCAGACATCTTCCTTTTCATGAAAATATATCATTCCAATCCATTAATCTCAGGATCAAATGAAATGTTTTTCTTTCAGAGGACACAACAAGTGAATTATAGGAAGGAAGGACCCTTAAACTTAAAACTATCAGAATGGAAAACCCTGGGATATGGGACTAAACAGTGCTTTGATCACCATGGTAGAAGATGTATGCTGGCAATTGAAAAAGGGGAGCACAACTGATTAGTTCTCCTGGACCTTTCAGCAATATTTGATAGCACTGATCATGATATCTTGTTGGATTACAGTGGTGCCTCGCTAAACAGTTACCCCGCATGACAGGTTTTTCACTTATCCTTAATGCATGGCTGTCTGTATCCTCACACAGAATTCTGCTCATAAGTGGTTGAGATAATGCTATTGAAGTAGGATGCTTCTGGTTGAGAGTAGTCTTATCATTTTAACATTTTAAATTCATTTGAACTTTAACAATATTTCATATATATCTATCTTGCTAGACATCGACTTTCTGCGATTGCTATAGCGATTCACGAAACAGTGATTCCTATGGAGGAATTTCGCTGGATAATGTTTGGTCCCTGCTTCGCAAACCAGTTTCCACTAGACAACAATTTTGACAGCTCCCTCCGTGCTTGCAAAACGGGTGTTTTTGGGACCTAAGCTTCGTAAGACAGCGATTTAAACAGCTGATCATCGGTTCGCAAAGCAGCTTTCCTATGGCCGATTTTCACTAGACAATGACGATTCTTCCCCATTGGAACGCATTAAACAGGTTTCAATGCATTCCAATGGGGAAATGCTTTTCGCTAGACGATGATTTCGCTAAACAGCGATTTTAGTGGAACAGATTATCATCATCTAGCGAGGTACCACTGTATCTGGCTAGGCCTTTGAATATCACCTAAGGGCAAAAATGGGCTGGATGTGCATGAACAAGCTCAAATAAAATCCTAACAAAATGGAGCTGCTATTGGTCAGTAGAAAGTCAGATTCAGGCATCAGGATTCATTTTGTTCCAGAAGGAGTTGCATTCCCCATGACAGGACAAGTTCATAGTTGGAGAGTACGCCTTGACTTTGCACTGTCGCTGGATTCTCTGGTGGCAGCAGTAATGAGGATAGCTGGTGCAAAATTCCACTAAACGAGCCAGCTATGATCTTTCCCGAGTCAACTTGATTAAGCAACAGTTCTCCATGTCTTAATTCCATTTTACTTTGCCTAGGAGTTGCATTCCCCATGACAGGACAAGTTCATAGTTGGAGAGTACGCCTTGACTTTGCACTGTCGCTGGATTCTCTGGTGGCAGCAGTAATGAGGATAGCTGGTGCAAAATTCCACTAAACGAGCCAGCTATGATCTTTCCCGAGTCAACTTGATTAAGCAACAGTTCTCCATGTCTTAATTCCATTTTACTTTGCCTACTGCAATTCGCAACAGTTCTCCATGTCTTAATTCCATTTCCCTTTGCCTACTGCAATTCACTCTATGTAGGGCTACGCTTGAAGAGAGTCTAAGGTCTTCAATTGGTGCAACATGTGGCAGCTATGCTGCTAACTGGTGCAAAAAGTATTGTGCTCATGTGGCCCTGATACTGAAAGACCTGTACAGTGGTGCCTTGCTTAACGACTATAATCTGTTCCAGAAAAATCGCCGTTAAGCAAAAACATCATAAAGCGAAATAAAAAACCCCATTGAAACGCAATGAAAACCATTCAGTGTGTTCCAGTGGGGTAAAAACTCACTGTCCGGCGAAGATCCTCCATACAATGGCCATTTTTGCTGCCTGTATAGCGAGGAATCCATCCCTAAGCACAGCAGGGAGCGATTTTAAGCACCCGGCAGCCATTTTGAAAACCCGACGATCAGCTGTTTTTGATCGTCGTAACGCGAAAATTGGTTCCCGAAGCAGGGAACCGATCTTCGCAAAGCTAAAAAAACCCATTTAGACCATCGTTTTGCGAACCCAATTGCAATAAGATTGTCGTAAAGTGGATTCGTCATAGTGCGGGGCAATCATAAAGCGGGGCACAACTGTAGTGGTTGCCAATTGTTTATTGGGCTCAATTCAGGTCATTGGTTTTAACTTTAAAGCCCTAAATAGCTTGGAGCCTGGCTATCTAAAGGACCATCTGAGCCATTATATGCCTATTTCAATTCTAAGATCTTCAGAAGAAGCCCTCTTAAAATACTGACAGTTTCAGAGGCCTGCCTAACAAGCTCAGGGGAAAATGCCTTCCCCTGTGTGCACTTCCTTCCAAGCTGTCATGTATTTCAACTCTGACAGATTTCAAGAAGGCAGTAAATACAAATCTTTTTAGATTAGCTTATGATGTTTCACCTGCCCTGCTATATTGGTTTGATTCTGTATCCTTTGTAGATTTTAATGATTTTTACTCTACTTTGCTTAATTTTAACGATTTTAGAGTAGGAACAATTTATATTATTTGATCAGTTTTTCTGCTAAGTGTGGCTTTTATGT